ATATAAATTAATATTTTATTTGTTTTTAACCGTATATATTTAATTTTTATTTTTATTTCGGAGAGAAGGACAGAGGTAGATTTATACAAAAATTATGCGTTTGGAGGTAAAGGTGCTAAATAAGCACAATTTAATTAAAATTTAAAACAAATTATCGAATTATTTTCACGTGATAGGTTCGAAAATTTATCATTTTATACTTTACAGTAATTTAATTTATATACGTTGATTTATAGTTTGATAAAATTTTAAATTCTTGTAACATCTAGTGGAAAATATGAATTTATTTTTTGGATTTTTTTTTAAAAGAATTTTTATTATTTTATTTAAAGAAACGTAATTTTTCTTTCTTTCTTAAGTGAAATTCTTAGAAATAAATCTATTCTTTATTGATCTTCTATGGTTTTATTCTTAGATCCATAAGATTATATCCAAGCGGGTCGCATACTTATGGTTTTTAGTACGGTTCTAAGTTAAGCTACTCAATTTTTTACTCGATTTTATTCATAATATATATAGGAACAATAATGTGCTGCTCTCGAGGAGACCAAAAACCACATAAAACCCTCTTTAATCATACGCATCAACCGTTAAAACGTCATTTATCTCTGTTCTCAAAGAATCGTTGCGCGCCATTGACTTGAAACGAATCTATGTGGTCCTAGATTTAGATAGTCTTTCATAATTTTTCTTTTTTATTGCTTAAAGTGCTTTTATTAATTTGTAGACAAGAGAAATATTATATCTGTTGATTGGTATGTTTAATTTTTCATGCCCTTCTTTATCGATTAAATTCTTGTTGTGCGATGGTTTTGCGCTTTGTAATGAGGTTTTAAGCGCTAAATTTTCGATTATTTTCTGTGTTTTTAATTATTTTTATATTATTTTCTCATAATAAAGTAAAATATTTTTGATTTTTTAAAGGTTTGAGTGTATTATTTTAGTTTAATCTTTGATGAGGTGGTGCTCGATTTTAGGATCTCTAAGAACCCAAACATATAAACTTGATTCTAGCTTTGAAAAATATGTGAACTGTGAGAAATTATTAATTTAGAATATTTAATTTAGTTTACTAAACAATTATTTATAAATAAAACATTGATAATTTTCCAAAATTACAATTTTAGAGCAATTATATGAAGAGTTATACCGTGATGAAGATCCAAATCTTGATTTTAAAATAGAGATATCCAATCTGAATTAATTTACGTTAAAAAAATTCTTATTTTTAGATTATTCATGATAAAAATACTAGATTTAGAAGCCTCGTTGAATAAAACATAAGTTTTAAACTATAAAAAGATACTAGAACGGCAATATTCATGATTAAAGAGTAATGCTTTCTATTACTCATTAATGAAGAAATTTTGATTTTTACATTATTTTAAGTAACTTAATTAACTTATAAATAGCATTAATTAGTAGTAATTTTTTTTCTAAATTTCTAACATCCCTTAAACAGTGAACATTCGTGTTTGCATTATTATATCACGGTTTTTCCTTTCGTAAAGAAAACTAATCACGAAAATGACTCCTCTCGTGAGATCCTTGTAGAAAATTTTCTTGTAAAACAGTAATTATTATAACATTTAGCCCTTA